TCATAGCAGATGGCATATATTTAGAATTTCAGAAACACTCATGGACATGGCTGTGACAATAGACATTATTCAGGTTGGAATACCAGAGGGTACTGAGCATTGGTAATAATTACAATCAGAGACTTCATATTATTAAATATGAAGTCCTTAAGATTTCTCTATTATTGATGTTTTTACAGCAATTAAATGAAAATGTAGCTTGAGGTACAATATTAGTAGCACATGAAAAGGTATCAATGTAGAAATCTCTTGAACCAATCTGACTGGTGCAGTAGACACTCTCCAGTAATTTCCTCCTGTTTTCACTTAGCATCATAAGAAGTTTTTTTAAGGAAAAATAAACTGATATGACTATATGCCCAGAAGCATAGTACAAGCAAGATTTTCAACAGAGCTGTGACATTAGCTATCTGATTAGGACCATCTTCATAAATGACTACGTAAATCTTGTAATGAATGTGTTCATAAATGCAATAACATGCTTTCTCATATGACAAACATGTAATGGCCTTCCCCATGATGATTGAGTTTAATGAAAACTCATTTTTGTGTGAAATTTAACTTATATTTTTTTCAACAACAAAAAGTTGCTCTTATTTCTTGATCAGCAGCAGTAAGTGATGTAACAGCAATACATAATCCTGCTCAAATATCAGCTTAGTTGGATAAGGAATCCATACATACTTTTAGAGAAATATCCATATGGAAATGTTATGGATTCCTTATGCTCTCCATATAGAAAATCTCATGGAATATGCAAATTAGTCTATGAGATCTATATGTTGTCCATATGGAATAAAATTAAAATTCCATACAGAATTTGGCAACAGTCCATATGGAATTTGTGAAAATTGCATATGGAATTTGGAAATATACCATATGGAATTTGTAAATGGTCCATATGGAATTTTGTAAATAGTTCATATGGAATTCAGTAATTGTTCATTCCGTACAAAACTTTCCTGGGGAATTAAGGTAGATTTCAGACAGGTTCCTTAAGCGTTTGATCATTATATAGTATTTTACTGAAGTTTCAATAGTTTTTCAGACATTTCAAAAGGTTTCAAATAAATAATGGATATGAGTTAAACAGGACTTTATTAACCAAGATGATATTTCAGTGTAAATGAAAAGAATTATACATATGTTGTAATTAGATAACATCAAAGGCAACAGATATGGGAGTTAATAATAATAATAATAATAATAATAATAATAATAATAATAATAATAATAATAATAATAATAATAACAGAGAAGGTAAATCAGTTACAGATCTAATCTACCTTGAGGCCTTCTGATTGTTAATTACAATATATACAGTATACACAACATGTGAAGAATCTGGCCAGACACTAAATGTCAAGCCTGGAACATATGCATAGGCATCTGTGAACACATAAACATATAAAATATTATCCTGAATTGAAAAATTCAACTGTAAAATAGATGCAAAATTACAGAAAAGCATCCATTTAAGACGTTAATTATGAAAAGAATAAATGCTGGGAGCCTGCCTTATGTCACTGTTGTACTGCAGATTTGATTTATGATTAATGTACAAACTATGATGCTGTTGTGGTCTCTAGAAATGGTACTTGTTCCATAAACAAACATTTATCTTGTTATAATAAATGCTAGGAGCCTGCCTTATGTCACTGTTGTACTGCAGATTTGATTTATGATTAATGTACAAACTATGATGCTGTTGTGGTCTCTAGAAATGGTACTTGTTCCATAAACAAACATTTATCTTGATATAATAACTCTTGTTTTACAGAGAATTCTAACATGCCTAGAATATTTTGATGATACACAAAATAATACCACTCACAATATTGAAAAATGATTATACTTATGTGCCAAAAAAACCCCAGAAAGATATGACTATCTTTGATAGACATGGGTATCTGGCAACAATATCAACAATACCAACCAGTGATCTATATGTTGTCCCTTCTGGAAGTTAATCAGTTTGGAGATGTATCACTTTGAAATCATCCTGGTTTAGTTCCTTTGCACATTTAGCAAATTAGCCGCTACTGTAAAGCTCTTTATGGCACAAAAAGCAAAATGCTAGTCCTGGCATTCAGTTTTCACATAGACTGACCAACTACATTCCCACTGACTTTGCATTCAAGATATTCTCGCTTCTGCACAATTTTCAAATCATTATTCAAACTCATATCCCGCTTGAAAATTCAAATCTTCATGCTAAGCAAGCATGTTCATTTCTATCAGATTCCATTAAATGACAATTCATTGGGCAAACACAAAATATTGACCAATCAGAAAGTTTTTTTACACTGATCATCTGATAAATAATAAATGGAACAAATACTTATTAGAAAGCTCATTACTGAATGGGACCAAATAGAGCATTATTACAAAAAAGTTTCGGAGACAATATTAAAGAAAGGGTCCATATCGATGAAAATCAGATTCTGGTCAAGAGAAATCAAAATTCTGATTTAAAACAGAAAACAAGAAAACTTGTTTGAGTGCAGTTAAATCCAAATGAAATTAAACAGAAATACAACAACAATTGTGAAAAAGAAATATAACAAGGAAATCTGTGGAAAGAAGTTAGCATGATCAAAATGAACAATTGAACTATAGCAATCAGAAACAGGAAATATAAGCATCACTGAAAATCATTAAGATTGCACAAGAAACAAAAAATAAATTTTTATTATATCCTTATGATATTGTTATTGAAATGTCAGCGATATTACAATCACAAAATATCACTATAATTTGAGAATTTTTGACAAACTCTAAGTGAAATTTCAATCACAAATTCTCACTGATATTTTCAGAAATTTTGGTACTCGGTGACATTTCAATCACAAAATTTCACTGATATTTTAAGAAATTTTGGTAAAATCTCCTAAAATATCATATTTAGTGAAAACATGACATTTAAGTGAATATCAAAAAATTTTCACTGTGATTTTGTTGAAATTTCAGCCACATTTTCAACTCAGACATTAAGTATCAACATATAATTGGTGGTTTTTTAAATTGCATAAGAATTTGTACTACCAGATATTAATATTCTGATCATATTTACATTTTCTCTACTTGTTTGAATCAATCAAAGGATATTGATCATATTGATCTTCTTTTAACCACTTATTCTCTTTATTTTAATCAGGGTTACAAACAACAATCACTTGTCATTGAACAGGACAAAAAAATCATGTGATCTCTATTTTGTTTCAAAGGGCCATTAGTGTAATTAAAGCCATGAAGTACATGTCTGTTATTTCATTCAAATGGAATTCTTATTAGAAAATTGAAACCTCCTGAGGTACTTGCTGGTGACAAGTGGTTAGTGAAATACTAAACTGTAGTTCTAAACTCTAACAGACAGGAAATCCTTAGTCTGGCTCATGAAACTCCTTTGGCTGATCAGTTAGGAATCAATAAGACTTATCACAAGATCTTGAGTCACTTCTACAGGCCAAAAACTTAAAAAGAGTTTGTAAATACAGTAGACCTTGCTATACTTGTCAAATGATAGGAAAACCCAATTAGAAGATACATAAGGCTCATCTGCAACCTATTCCTGTGTTTTATGAACCATTTAGCAGAATAATGGTCGACTGCATTGGTTCCTTACCTAAGATCAAGTCAAGTAACCAATACTTGTTAACCTTTATGTATGTGTCAGCAAGATTCCCAGAGGCAATTCCTTTGAGAAATATTAGAACTAAAAGTGGAAGCTTCAAAAGTTTTTTCCCTCGGTTTAGACTTCCCAAATCTATCCAATCTGATCAAGGGTCAAAGCTTATGTCTGGAATTTTCCAGCTAATTATGCTTGAATTTGGCATCCAGCAATTCAAATCAAAAGTAAAATTATGATTTAACAGTACTCCAATGTAGAGAACATTTGAATGTCATGATAGAGTTCTCTATATCTTGCTCATTCTTAAAAATTTTCTTAAAACATTTAGTTATTATGGCCCTTACAAAGTTTAGAAAAAAATGAATGAGTTAAATTATAGTAATCCTGGGATGTAAATAAATTAAAGGAGTACTTATATGTTAATAGAGGTTGCCAAGCTAATGATGCAATTAATTTAGTTGTACCTGTCCAACTCAGTAAAGATTTAAGTGAAGGAATGCAATTGGATACTATTGATTTTGGAGTGAAAAACCTTTAGAATTCAGAAATTATGAATAATCTTGGACCTGTGCAACAAGAAGAAACAAATGAACTTAAACAAGTACTTGAATATGAGCATTTATTACCAGATGTTCCTGTGAGAACAAACAAAATTGACCATAACATTGAAATTGTAAATTCCAAACCTGTGAAATTACACCCATTCAGGATGAACCCTCTCAAACAGAAATACTTCTAAAAAGAAATTCAGTATTTGCTTGGTTCGCCAAGTACTTTTCAATGTTTAATGAACATGATTACTGCAGGTCTGGATAACTGTAATGATGTTATGATGTCATTATCTACAATGACTCCTAGAGCATGATTACCTCTGGTCTAGATAATTGTGATGATGTTAACAATGTCATGATGATGTTGATGATGTCATTATCTACAATGACACCTGGAATGAACATTTAGCAACAATTTAGAAATTCTTTGACAGACTCACTGATGCATGTTTGAAAATTAATTGTTTTTCAAAAGTGAGTTCTGCCATGCTTGTGTAACATTTCTAAGACATATCGTGGGGCATGGACAAGTTAAACCTATAGATGCTAAGGTCAAGACTATCTCTGAACTCCTTGTACCTGTCAGTAAAAGGCAACTGATTTGATTTTTAGGTATGGCTGGAAATTGGGATGTGATGTGATTATGATTTTTAACGTAGAGTGATGTCTAGCACTGGGGCATCATGGCGCAGACATGTGGCATGATGTCTCACCCAGTCACATTATTCTGACACCAGGCCGACCAGTCCTAACACTAACTTCTTAATGCTGAGCATCAAGCAAGGCAGCTGTTAGCACCATTTTTTATGTCTTTGGTATGACTCAGCCTGGGATCAAACCCATGACCTCCTGCATTCGAGGTGGATGCTCTAACCACTAAGCCACTGGAGTGGTACTGGAAATTGGAATTGGAAATTTTGTTCCAATTCTTGTCATTGCCGAACCCCTAACAAATTTACTGAGCAAGAAAATCAAGTTTCATTGGACTGAAAAATGTCAGGAGGATTTTGATAAGTTAAAGACAGTACTTAAGAGTGCACCAGTTCTTACAGCTCCAATTTTCAGTCAATTATTTAAACTGTCTGTTGATGGAAGTTATGTAAGGGTTGGAGGAGTATTGATTCAAGAAGATAAAAAGTGTTTATAATCCAGTGTGCTATATTTCTAAGGAATTAAATAAGCACCAATGAATTTATTTAACAATCCAGAAGGAATGATTGGCTTTGATACTGACATTACAACATTTTGAAGTTTGCATTAGTTAAGCTCCTTAGCTGATCATTGAGTTTAGTGATCACAACCACCTTACTTTCATCAGCAAAATGAAAAAGAAAAATCAGAGATTATTAAAGTAGAGTTTGTTGTTACAGAAATATAATTTTACATCAGATATATCAAGGGAAAAGACAATTTAATATTAGATGTACTTTCCTTTGTATAGAAATATATTATTTCATGTATACTTTGTATCATTCATAAAAATTTCTTCTTATTTTTTATAAACCTGAAGTATAATTGACCTATGGCAAAAAGAAAACTTTATTATATAAATCTTTCTTTTTCTTTTATGAATGGGGAGTGTTATGTATATTTAATTTAACTGTTTTCTTTTTGTTTTAAATTTCTTAATTCCATTACATGTTACTGTAATTTAACTTTTGTTTACTGGATTTGACATTGACCAGAAATTCAGTTCAGTTCTGTTTAACCTGTCATTTTATTTTTATTTCAATTTCACTAATAAACAAACCAATAATATAATTAATTTATCAAGTTGCTGACCTCATTCCAAAATCAGTGATAGTTTTGATAAACAACTTTTTTATTTATTTTTTTTATCTTTGTCAGAGTAAGAATTGTTAAGTTAAATCAATGTCATACTTAGATTATGTGATGGATGGCTATTGTTACAAACTTCTATTTTTCCAGAAGAATGATTTCTTTTACCATCATCCGGGAATCTATTTTGTATCTTAATTAGCATATAAGTGTTCTTTTTGATAGTTTTTTTCAGCTAGCTCCAAGCAATTGACACATTAAGTTGTCATTATGTTGTGACCAGTTTGAGTTGAAATTTTATTTTATTGAATTTCAAGTGATTTTTTTCCCTGGAAATACATATGTGCTCCTACAAAAATCTTGGACCAAAACATTCACTGGCATTTATACAGAACTCAAAACTGGAATAATATTTTTATCTAATTCAACAAGAAACTGTTGACATGTCTACACTTTCAAGGTCACAACAGATGTCATCCCCATATTTTGGATTTAATCTGGATTCAAACTCAGTTCTTTTGGGACTTTTTAACACTAGGACTTCTATTTTTTAATTCTTGGACTACTTTGGATTTGATTTGTAAAACCATAAGATTTTTTTCTTAATTTTTCACTTTGTATTGTAGGGAGGTGAATTATCTGTTAAATTTTACAAAGCTTGTTGTCTTCACTCTATTCTGTTACTTATATTATTAGCCTGGACTCATAACACCCAGGATACATCTGCCACCTTAATGGTACATTATGGTATAGAAACTGCAAATCATCCCAGATGAGTTTCTGATAGATATATACTGCCATTTCCAGCACAGGTAGATAACTATTTGTATTAAATAAAATCCTTTTGTTCTTAAATTTCATTTATGATTGAACAGTATTCCAGGTGAAATGGAGTTTTTAAACAAGATTTAATTATCTACAATTCTGAGCTGTATATATGAAACTGAGATAAGTATGGTATAAAATCAGTGCAACTGAGATAAGTACTGTTAAAAATCAGTGTAATGTTTAATTCAGATCAACCTTGACAGTCCATAAACTCATTTTCTTTCAGTTCTGACTTTAAATTCACCCTCCTGAGCTTTCAAGAGGTCACAGTCACTCAGCCCATGAAAATCCTGAAACAATTGTGCAGCTAGGGGCCAGAGGAGGCATGCTGTGCAGTAATTTGCTCTTTTGGTAGGGGAAATTTGGAAAACAGCACCATGCAATCAAAAATGAGTGCAAAGATGAACATGAATGATATTTGCATTACATTTAAACCAACTACTGAAAAGTAGCACAGACTGCTTAGCATTAAGTCTAAATTCCATTATCCATTGGATATTAAAGACTAACTTAGTGTATTTTTTATTTAATGTCTGTGGGGCTGTCACCATGCCCACATATCTGTGTGGTGATGTTATTTCACAATGCAAAGTCTATCATGTTTAATTTGAAAGTATATTAAATGCTGCAAAGAAAACATAAGGCATTTACTCTTTATTCACATTTGAATTTCCAGTCATTTGCTTTCAAGTTAGCATATGAAAATATAGTTTATTCTCATGTTGATGGCTTTCTGGGTGCATCAAGTGCTCTTTCCCCCCATTGGGACCTCAAAACACTTTTTAAAACATCATGGCAATCCTTCCAGTAGATTAGGAAGTAAAATAAACTTGTGTAAACAAATAGATGAAGGCTATCTCATAAGCTGTTCTCTTGTGAAAAATTGTGCTATTCCAGGAGCTACTGATTCTAGCTCTTCTAAGTGTGGTGGAATGTGTATAACTTGTCTAGATTTAACTAGAAACAATGTTCACTTCAGAGACAATTTTCTTTTGCAATTAGAGTTGTGTCTGAATTAACCATCTGCTTCAACATTTATCCTGACAAGTATATTTTTTTATTTTTGTAGTCCATATGATTTATCTCTATATCATTGATGTTTTACAACAATTTAATGATCAAGTAGCCAGTGTAATGATATTGATAACATATAACATGGTATCAAGAGATGGTAAAGAGATTAGGTCTCTTTTTCACACTGTTCTGAGGTGTATGGTTAACCTTATCCAGTACACTTCATAAATTTTCATTTAATAAGCTGATATCATAAAAAACCTTTTGGGAAACCCAACACCAATATGACCATTCAAACATGACCTGTAGAAATAATACAATTTTCAAGAGCATTGTTAGACTGTCATATTATCAGCATTTTCATATGAGATCAAGAAGATTAGGATTAATGTTTGTGTAAACATAATTACAATCCTCCTAGTAGTTTAGGAAATAGTGTGAATACTAACTTATGCAATGACTGTATCATAAGATCTTTCTGTCTATGGGCAATAGAGCTTATCAGAGAGTTTCTGATTCTGGCTGTTCTAAGTGTCATGTTAGAGGCTGGAGACATCCTGTATGGGAAATATATGATCTAACTGGAAGCAGTGTTCACTTCAGTGGTGGTTTTCTTTTGAAATAAGTGTAGCTTCTAAATCTACTGTTTGCATGACCAACCATTTATCCTGATAGCCAGCAAATTTGTTTGACAGAAATAAAAAGTTTTTTGTTTTGTACAAGGTATACTAATCTTGTTTCCATGACAATTTTCTCTAAAATAAAATGTATCGATTCTCTTCTAGATGAATTTATATCAATGAACATCATAAATGTTACAAATGTTAGATTCAAAATGACACTAAAAGCCAGATGCTGGAACACATTACACATACAGTAATTATTACAGTATGGGATTAATGTATATTTTATGAACAATAAACTACAGGCAAATAATGTTGATTTCCATAAACATCTGTAATTCAACCATATATGCTTGTACTAACAAATAAATTAAATGTACAATTACATGGATGTATAAATTAAGTAAGAAAGAAAGTAAGATTCCCATGCAAGGTGGTCAAATTACTAAGATGTGGCAGAAACACTCTAGCTGAATTAATCTGAATTACCCATTACCCAGGCAAAATAGGTTACCACTTGTTCCAGGAGGATGTTATAGCAATGCTATCACATAAATAATTTGACTTACCCATCACCCAGGCAAGAAGATGTTATCAATGTCATCACTGAATTAATTTTACATACCCATTACCCAGGCAAAATAGGTTGCCCCTTGTTCCAGGAGGATGTTAGAGAATCTATACAGGGTATTAGTACCAACATTTGTCACTCAATGTCATCCCTGAATTAATTTCACTTACCCATTATCCAGGTGAAATAGGTTGCCCTTTGTTCCAGGTGGATTTTAGAGCAATGTTTTCATAACTGAATTAGTCTGATTTACCCATCACCAAGGTAAAATAAACTGCCTTTTGTTCCAAGAAGATGTTATAGCAATGCTATCACTGTATTAATCTGACTTACCCATTACCCAGGCAAAATAGGTTGCCCCTTGTTTCAAGAGGATGTTGGAGAATCTATACATGGTGTTAGTACCAACATTTGTCACTCAATGTCATCCCTGAATTAATTTTACTTACCCATCACCCAGGCAAAATAGGTTGTCCCTTGTTTCAAGAGGATGTTAGAGAATCTATACAGGGTGTTAGTACCAACATTTGTCACACCAAATACACTGAACAATTTATTTTTCTCTTCTTCTGTGGCATGACCTCCATCAATCTGTAAGAATGAAAGGTATTTCACTGAGTACCCATTTTGTCTGTAGTATTTTGCACACTTATTAATATTATGGGTGCCTACAAATAACTGGTGCTGCAATATTAATATTTAATTAGCTGATCCTTAAATACAGAGGACAAAAATCACCATTATTAAAATTTAAAATGGTATGAAAAATGGACTGGTGGTGTTCTACAATTTAATGCATGTGAAAAATTATCAACTTCATGAATTCTGCTAAGAGTTAAATAACATCTGTAAACTTCACCCAATCAAGAGTTCAGTGTTTTTCTTTAAGGAGTTTGACCCATAAATATTAATTATGATATTTGGTCAATTTGCAATTGTACTTTAAGTTACATTACTACTTGATATCCTATGCTGAATTTATATTTCATAGTTTATTACAAAACAATTTATATTACCTAAATATGCAGTTAACGTTATGTGTTGAGATGCAATAGCATGAAACAATTAGGTAATGTA